AGAGATTAGAATATGTGCTTGAAATTAAGTTACTGTTTTGAGACCAATTAAAACCATTAGGACATGCAGCTGATGAACATACTGCCATTTTTCCACTTTTCTTTCTTAAAGACAATTAACTGTAGCAAATCTGTAAATCTGAAAGGACTTAATTAGTATCCAGGGACAGTTTAGTGATATTTAATTAACAAAGAGAACATAAATTACTTTAAGGAAAAAAACCCAAAACTAACCAACCTCTCATTACATCCTGCTAGGGTTTTTTTTAATGGGAAACTCTAGTTAAAAGGAATATACTTTGCCTTTTAGAATGATCACAGGAAGCAATACTTATCATCAGACGAGCAAGAAAAGTGTTCTACAGCCTCATTCCAATTTTTTGTCTGTACAACAGATGGACTACATTAAAAAAAAAAAGTCTTGAGAGCTAAAATAAAGGGAGAAACTAAATCATAGAAGGAAGCAGAATATAGCTATTATTTAATGCAAAAAAGTCAGGTGCAGGGGTACTCAAACACAGATACACAGAGAAAGAACTCACACATTTTTCTCTCCCCTGAAAGAGCAGACTCATCTACCTACTGTCACAATACCTCCTCCATAAAATAATACCAGGGCAGAAGGCTTTATTATAATATTAAAACCTTTTCCCGTTCTATGTTCATTTTTATTTCTGTTACTTTATCCCCACTGTAACAGACTGCATCTCATCTTACTGAGACAAGATAGAATTAACCTTTGTAGTTTATTCATCTACTTCATCCTATTTGTAGTCTTGACTCTTCCTTATCACGCTGTATTCAACCTGATCTTTGCTCTCACCAGTGTTATTGATCATATCCCTTTAGAAGCATCTCTGTCCCTATTTCAGCATGACACAACCTCCATTTTCTCCCATGCCAACCTATGCTGCTTTCCTCATTACAGGCTCCTGAACACGTGAGGCAGGTCTGATCAGCACAAAAACCAACCCAGTATTCTGAGGTCCAGACTGACGTGAGGAGCAATAGCCAGACTCTGTAGATTAATCTTCTCTGACTTAGCCATTTCTGCATCATAAAGCTGGGGAGGCTTGGGGACAGGGTCTAGGTGCTACCCATAGTGCATGAAAAGCAACTTCTTTATGTCTTTTCTCAGATTAGTAGCAAGATGTACAGCTATTCCTCCACAGAGAATACAGGGAGAATACTTCAATGAGGGAGACAACCCAGTAATGGCTTTTCTTTGTGGTACTTTTAGACGTGCAGATGTTCATTATTGCGAAGGGAGTTTGGGATTCCAAATTTCTCTCTTATTTCAAACTGGGCTCTAAACATGGACTGACTTCCTCTTTACCACCTTCATACCACACAATCTCAGATCAAATTGGATCCAGAACAAACACAAGTGGTGGCAGTCTATTTTGCACATCTCATCATATGGATGTTGTGAAGGCAGCTACAGTAAGGATTGAAAGGCACACAAAAACACTATGGAAGACTGTGTCTACACTTATGTAGAGTGCCTCACTTAGCATCAGGAAAATGCTCTGCTATCTATTAGAGTCACATAACTGGCTTTCCTTCCTATAAGATAGGAGCAGGGGGGATTACATACAATCGGACACAATGGTGCTGTCAGGAAGCAGCTGAAGTGTGTGCTTGAAGTATCGGTTTCCAGTGCATTCCTGGGAATGACATTAGAGATAACATGGGCTTTTACTGACTGCAGAGTGTCAAATAACCACACAGCTTTTTCCATTTGTGTTTACTCAAGAAGACATATCCCTTACTGAAGGAATGAAGAACATGGACACAGCTGTTATTAGAATGCTTTGAAGTGGGTGAGGTATCTTTCCTTTATTAGAGAAGTAGAACTTTAACAATTCCTTAGAGAATTCATAAAACTGAGCCCTAACAATTAAGATATAAAGACATTTTTGAAAATTAAAAAAAAAAAAAAATCATACTTTCCCTCAGAATGGACCTACAATCTTCCAGGATTTTGGCATATGGGCAACTCCCCATAATTTATCTTGCGATGAATCCAGACATAGTTTATGCATGTTTTCTACCTTTTCTTCCTGTCTATAATAAAAGTATCGTCTCCCCTTGTATCCATGTTTATAAAGTAATAATAGAAATACATAAAGTAAATCTGTCCCCCAAAAATATTAGTTTTAGCAATTAAAAAAAAATTGTCACTGTAACTGCTATATCAACATATGATTGTCTTGACCAGGGTGTACTTTTGGGAATTGTCCATTCAGATAAAGGAAATTCATAACACTAAAATTATAAAATAAGGCATACATTATCATCCTAAACAACTTTTCAGTAAAGGAGAGTAAAATGTGGGTGATTAAAAAAGAAACAGAGTAAGGGGAAATAAGAATGATATCCATCTTACATTAAGGAATCACTGACCAAATTGAAGAAACATATAAACAGTGATGAATGTTTTGTCTTTGTTGTCTTCATTTTAATGGATTTGAAATTAAGTCTTAAGTGGCACAAGGAGCTTTACAACACAGTTTCTAAATATTAGCTGAAACTATCATATTCAGCTTCAGCCCTAGGTTCACAACTGAATATTTATCTTATCCCATAACAGGAGATAACCTCTTCCTCAGCTGAAGTAACTACTTCCTTTCAAAAGTTTCCTCTTGCCCCACCCCTTGCCTCAAAAAACACCAGTTTGCAGTTGAGCTCTAACAAGATTTAAACTCTGCTTCTTTAAGACTAACTGTTTCTCATAGCTAAGAGTTGTTCCTGTATGTACTTCAAAGGCAAGTGATGCTGTGGACTTCCCAGCATTGTGTCCTGCTTTTGAAGTCTTTGAATTATCCATAGGAGATGCTACTAACAAAGAGAAACTGACAGTCTTTTAAAAGTACAATTTACATTTATGTACAGCAAATGCCACAAAAAGAGAGAGGATTACCTTTTTAAAACTGATTCTTTTTTCTGTCTCTTCAGACAGCAACAGATTTCAAGAAAAAAATATGTTGTAGCTGGGGTTACTGTTTATCAGCACGAACAACCAGTATCATAATATGAAGAGTCTAGCCACTCCAGAAAGAAATATAAATTTAAAGTGAATATTTCCTGAAATAATTCTTTATGCATTTTAAATAAACTAAATACCTGAATCTCCTTATTCATTGTCAAATTTATTCAAAAATTTATTTTAAAAGAGCTCATGTTCTTTTTTTCTCTTAAATATTTACAGTAGTCACAGCTAGATCAAGTAGATCACAACACACACAAGAAACACTTCTTTTCCATCTTCATTCCTATTTCTATTTACATCCTGACTTCAAAACATACTTTATGAAAAGATCAGGTCTAGCATAACTGTTAACAACATATCTCTTTCAGAAAACATGGAATTTAGAGAGCCCATTAAACATGAAATATTTCTTGTGTTTTTTTTTTTTTTTGTGAAAGGGGAGAAAATTACGTGAAAATATTAAGCAAAGCAGTTTCAAAGTGTTAAAACATCTTGACTTTATAACTGAAAGGCCTGTTTTAAAAGGTAACCTGTTTATTGTAAAAATAGTTAGTCTCCAAACAATTTAAATCAAAGTGAAATATTTCCAATTTATGTAAACCTAAGTCTATAACTGTTTCACTGAACCACTTTTTCAATCATAATTTCATTAAAATTTGAGGCTTTTTTCACTTCCTGTCCTATTTCAAAACAATAATACAAAAAATATCAAAAAACATTAATAAACAAGCTACATATTTCTTGCCTTAAGTCTGTAAAGATAAACTTGAAATCAGAAGTTTGACTACCTGATGCTTTTGGTGACATCAGCCAACAAACTTTTAGGGAGGCAGCCTCTTAACTTCATTGCCTTGCATTTTTTTAAAAGGCATGAAGAAAAAAATCAGTTATAAATAATTTTATGCACTGCCATCTCTGTTCCCTTCTTACCTTTTGATAGCTATACATACATCTTATTTGAACTTAAATAGTAAGCAGGCATCCTGTCCTGCTGTAACTGCTGTTTATCTGGCAGTTAGTCTTCACTACAGGTAGCCTCACGTGTAACACATGTTGTTCCTTGATCTTAATTTTTTATTTCAGATTTAGATAGGTAGTACATTATGTAACAAGGGTATCAACAATCTTCCAGTTCACTGAACCATGAGAAGGGTTTGAGGCTCACCATGCTCTTTTCTTGCCAATGACAGTTCAACCAGTATGAAAGAAGTTAGCAACATTTCCAAGAAGATTAAATATATCTCGTTTGGCTAAGTACCTTCCTTGTATCTTCCATTACAGTCAGGTTTTCCTCTTACCAAGGTCTTAGTTCTGACCACCACTAAATAGACCTCAAATCAAACTTAAGTTTTTTAAGCATTTTTCAAAGATATCACTGCCAAAGCAAAACAAATTTTAGGGTGAGGTAAGGGAAAGGCAGCAAACTAGTATATTTCTGCTGGAAAGTCAGGAGTTCATTTTTAACTCATGTAAGTCATCTGCAAAACAAGCCTCCTAACTTCCTTTGGTTTCAATTCGTAGCAGCTAAAACCAGGGCTCCTTTTGCAATTCTCTCTGAAAAAGCAGATACTGAAATTCCAAACAAATATGGCACCTGTTTTCTAACTTAACTAATGCCAGAAGCAGCACTAGAATTTAGGTCTTCTATTTCACCGGGCATACTAGTACATTTTTCAAGTTACCATATTTTTCATCAAAATTTAAGTTTTAAATAAAATGAAAAGACATAGCTGCTAGCAACTCTTAAGACACTGCAGAAAACACAAATAGAGCGTGACTGATTTATTGACAGCTGTGAGCTCAAACACACAAATTCAGCAACTGAAGCATACTTAAGAGAATACTTATGCTAATAAATCCATATTATTTGTTATACACTATCTTGCCAATAGAAATTCTTATAATTTAGTTAAGGTTTCTTAAATTAAGAAATATGAATAGTGACACCCCTCCTCCCTCTCTTTGTACATGTGAATATATCTGCACATAGTCTAATACTTTAGCCTTACCAGTGCTGTCATCATAAACAACAGTAACTGTTTTCCACTTGAAGAACTGCACAAGGTCAAGGATGGCACGGCTGAGTGAAGAGAAATCTGGATAGAGGCTGACATAGAAGGAGTCCTTGTTGTCTGACACCTGATGTTTCCAGCGGGTCTGGATATGCGGAACACCCAAAGCGTTGCAGATGGATTGCACAGCGTTAGCTGAGGAGCTATGGGATGGTCCGAAGATGGCAGCCACCCCAAGGGACAGCTGATCGCAGGCTGAAGAGGAGACAGAAGTCTGTCAATGATGAGAGGAAAGAAGGCAGTGTGCCAGAAGGTATTGCACAATTCATATTAAATAAAAGGCACTCCATGAAATATAACTTTATTGCTGACAGAGCTCCCTTCTTGTGTAACACTTTCACTTACACAGATTTCAACTTCAGAATACATTTCTAAGCTTTCACTATGAGCTGATGAATAGCAACATGTAACATCGAAATAGTGCTCAGCTACATTTAATAAACACTTCTATGTCAGTGGAAGTCACAAAGGCCAGCAGTTGTGTATCTTTTAAAAAGCACTGACGAGATTTTTGCTCAGCTTCATCTTACATTTGGAAAAGGGCCATATGGGACAGTATTCTAACCTAGGCTGTTTAAGCATTAACTTCTTCCTCAATCAATCAACACTATTTCTACTGAGATGGTAATTACTCAGAAATTGTATGTGTTAAGTAGATTCTAGTTAAGTATCAGGCAAATTATTAATTTCATTGAAATGGACATGTGAATTTCTGTATCTGAAAAGTAGGCATGTTGACTAGCAAAATTTAAAGGTCAACATTTTCCCTAAATTGCTGCTAATGAAAAAAATTCAGTGTCCCTTCTTAAAGACTGGAAATACTCAGTTTTGCTACATTTGTATTAGTAGATAAAACTGGCCCTGAGAATCACTGACACGATACTGCTGCATTCAAGTGGCTTAGCTCTCCTCTTTCCAATATAAGGTGGCCCTACCTATACTGTGCATTAGCAGTCTCTGGTCTGTGTTATCTCCCACAGTATGCTCCATTATTATCTTGTAGAATATTAGTCAATACTGCAGACCAGTGTTTCAGCCCATGCCCTGTTCCTGTTTAGATCACTGACATAGACATAACCTTTATGAGTATACAGTTCTGAAAAACAACAGATTCTGTCTTCTGAGAAAACCTCCTATTTGGTAGAGAGAAGTAATGAAAAGTATCTCCCTAATCCAATCTAGATGCGAGTGTTTGTATGAGGTTTGATTAATTAATAGTGTTACTCCACCATCAATGTTCCTGACAGCTGAGGAAACAAGCAGTAGAAACACATCTTGCTGCATTACTTTTCTCAGCAAGTCAAAATTCATTGTTTTATTTTGCACATCCTTTTCAACATGATGAAAATATTGCTAAGTCTTTCAAGTGCATTCCAGAAACTATGCTGGCACACCTTTTTATTACTGCAGAGCACCAGTGGTTTAAATGAACTTCTCATATACACACAGGGTCTCTATTGCATTTCTGAGCATCGGATCAGGGCCTAAATGACTAGCTTGATAAAAAAAACATTTATGCTAATATTGCCCTTCCTAAGAGTAATCAACAAGCTTTATGCAAATGTCAGTAAATGGGATCACTAACAACAGCAATAGCTACCAGATGGCTTTTCAATGGGCTTTTTTTTTCCTGTTTCTGAGATTTGAATAATGCAACGCTTTCACACGTGATTTAATATGGCACTGGCTCTATCAGACGCATACCAATTTTTCTAGTGCATTGAGGGATTTTTTGTTTGCATTTACATTATTCTTCACTGAAACAGTATCTTGGAAATATTGTCTTGCCTTCAGGTTGTTCCTTCATATAGTACCTTTAAAAACACATTAATATTTCATCTACATACAACTTCAGAAGTATGTGTTACTAAGAGGTCTAAACAGGCTATTTTTGATGCAGTGCCTGCCTGCTCACTAATGGACATAATCATGAACCACAAAATGAGTCAAATGCTGAAACATCATTGTTAAAACTCTGCTTTGGAGCCATCATAATAAAATAAACCATTTTATGTTAACCTTTAGCCTTTGATTCTGAACTAAAGCACCTGTCAGCACAAATGTAGTTGGCTGTATTGTGAATTGATGAAGCACTGGAAGATTACACAGATTTTGATATAGCCTGACCAGTTACAAATAAAAAGAGTTGCATTCTCACCCAAGATGCAAGTGGGAACAATTAATATGTACAATCTATTCAATATATCCAATTAATGGCATGTTGCCATTCTAACTTCAGCTATTATAGTCTATCAAGAATTAGCAACATAATAGGGCTAACTTGCACCTTCAAGAAAACCTCAAGTAAGGACTAAAAGTAGTTGTATTGTCTCAGGAAAGGCTTAAAGAATTAAAGATCGCAGAACAAATTTCTCTTTTCTCTACATCCTCCCTCAGGAATGGAGAGAAACTGACCCATTAAATTTCACAGGACAGTGTGTGCTGGAGTCAGGAATCCGTTGAATTTGGAAGATGAGGAGGAAAGGAGAAAGAATGGGCCAGAATTAAGGATCAGCCCATTTATTCACTGTTGGCCGAGATGGAAAGAGTAGTCTCTCTCAGAACCTGCTTTAATCCATCATCCAAAAGACCAGAATAACAACTCAAAAATACTTTGTTAAAAGTGTTGTTTGCCTCTTTCTTCTTCCACACACTCTCCTCTGCAAAGAAACCATCTTGCTAGGCATAAATGTTTAGTCCATAATATTTTTCATAAAACAAAGTGTCTTGCAATGACCAAACTGTGTGTATTTCTGTACAAATATGGATACTGTCTATTTTCATACCTAGCAGCAACAACCTATATTAGAATTGTTTATTTAGCAAATAAACAGATAAAACAGGTTAGCAAGATTAACTCTGTGTGTTACAGCAAAAAAGAAAAAAAAATTCTCATAATTTCTAAACTGAATTTTTTAATCAGTATTATATTCCACTTTTAAGATGTACTTCATGTACATTCACCCTGATGCAGCAGCTTTCCCCTACATTTCTAATGTGGCGTCAAATGTTTTTATTCATCTTAGCCCACTATCACACCAAAAATCCCTTATTGTGTAAAGCTTTCAGTCTTCAACACTTAGGAGTGGCATGTTGGGACCAGATTACTTGGCAGATTTAGGTTAGAAACCTGTCATAAAAAATACAGGTTGACCTCTGATTCTTTTAGCCTTTTTATTTTGTTGTTAAGGATAACATTCATATGAAATTGGCGCTTCAATTTATAAAAAAAATGTTTTTAAAGAACATGTAATACAGTGCAAAATTCAGTCCTACTGAGTTCTGACACCAGGTTTTGTATTTTCTCCTATAAATACATATTGAACTTGTTGGGGTTTGTACTTTCTAGGATATGGCAATGATGCAGTACAACTTGCATCTATTGTCATAGACTTGAATGTAAAGCAATCTGAAAACTTCAATTTTTGTGACAATCAAAGATTTGAAAATTTAACAGAAATGTTCAAAATTATTTTTAACTTTTAATTTTTCTTTAAACGAATCATTTATAGTTAGGAGAAAACTGCTGAACTCAGGCCTAGACATTCAGCCGATAGCAATATTCTTAAGCACAGACTTAATAATTAGGTTTATTTTTATGCCTTGTTGACATAAGATGCACAAAATTACAACTACTTGTTCCCCTTTGAAGCCCACACCTGATTAACTATGTGAGACATTCATATGCTAAAGGTGTTTGTGGAGATGTACTTAAAGTGATTGAATGCTTAAAATTGAATTGGAGCCTTCTTCCAGAGTCACTAGAATTTGGGGGCACTTGGCATTTTCCAGGACAAATTCTGGAAATTGTGTTTTCTCACTCCAAAGGTACTGGTCTCAAAAACACCCTAGTCACAAAGCTCAGAAAAATTTATTTCAGTTTTTAAATATTTAAAGAAATAGCTTTTAGACAGGGGCAGTGGGAGCAAAGGTGACAATGTAATTTTCAAGCAGTTACCATTACAGCCTTCAACAGGTGGTCTTTAAAGGAGTTCTTTGATGTCAGCCACAAACCTGTACAGTCTCATTGCATATGGCTTTCCTGGACAGACTTTTTTTGAGGTAGGTAAACCAAGTCTTAGTTGCTCATTAAAAAAATTAAATATGCAAAAGGATACCTTTTTTGGATGCTTCAAAACTGTCATAGAGATTTATCTTTTGGGTGTCATATGTTAATGTGGTGTTTGGCAGAAGAGTTCGGTTTCTGTTGATTGTGTTCACAGCAAATCTGAAGGCTAATTCTTCTGCTCCCATTGGACCAGATTCCACACACTCAAAAATGCCTCCTGGTAGTAGGAGAAAGAAGAAAGAAAAAAACAAATGACTAGTAAGCCAAAATGGCATACAAGAACATCTTTAATCATCAGTTTGGGAAAAGATTCATCAGCCTGAAATTTTTAACTTAATAAACCTGATACAGTGCAACTCATTAAATTATCTCATTATTTTGGTGAGGTTTGGGTCAAACCGTAAATAACCCAGCAACAAATCAAACTTACCTTAGAGAAAACCTGTCTGGTTTTTTTCCATACAACATTCATTTTACTATTGTGAATAAAAAGAGTGTGGCAATATAAACTAACCACACTATTTAGAAGCAAAATAGGAGAGGGATGAAGAATATAAAATTATTATTTTACATAGTTAAACCTGAAATGATGACATTTACCCCTTCCAGATCAACCATCACCTATGTATGTGTGGCAGGGCAGAGGGAGATTTCTGGTTTCTTGTTTTCTACTGTTCTAGACTTATGATACAGCAATAATGAACTGGAGAGTTCACTGGAAATGCAACATATAACGGAGCATGGAACTAGGATGCTCCAAACTGCCTCCAAAAATGAAGACATATAGACATTTTAGCATGACTGTGTGCCTGAACTGATAAATATGTTGAGCAAAGGGTTCAAATTTTGCTCTTTTGCACTGAGCCGCATGTACATGCTAACCTCATTCTCAGCAAATACAGGAATCTAAGCAACTACACCCTGCATAAGCTCTATTATGCAATGAAAGCATCCCCAAACAAAGCGTACTGCCAGAGTAGGACATGCCTCAAATGATGGGCAATTTCTAGAACACTTCTGAGCCAGCCTTAATGTTAAATGAAGTAAATAAGTTTGTGAAACAGTGCTGTGCTTCAGCTGTTCTTTTCTCATTAATGAGATATCATTGCCCATGAAATGTAAATTTATACATACTTTGGGGTAACATCATTTATTCTTGGGTCTGGAAAGGCCAAGGATACAGTGACAATAACAGTAATTTGAAGATATGTCCTTACTATGGTGACATGGAGTGACTCAGAAAAACAATCAGCATCCATATGGTCTCTTTGGTCCTCATGCTAACAGCATCTGTCAATACTAATGGATGGCCAATGGCCATCACCTGAGGACCACTAATTACAAGCCAGACATTGTATCTGTGCAAGAAATGTTTTTCATTTGCCTTCTCCTAGCTTGTACTTATTCATTTCCAAAGTAGTGGTGCTACCTGGCTTTGTATTGTCTAAAAAAATTTATTCAACACTCCACAACTTTCTCAGCAAGAAGCTCTCAGAATCTGAATGTGCAGGAACTGAGTCAGACCGAACTTTGCAAAGTACAGTCAGTTTGTAAACAGTTTTGTTGAGCAGCTAAGTAGATAAACCTTTTCTAAAGCAAAAAGAATGTGTATTTTCCCTTTCTGATACTAATAAATACGAAAAGGCTTTTCAGTTTTGCGAACCTCCTGCCTCTTCCAACCTGTTAACTTTTTTCCTGCAGATGAGCCCTTAAATTCCTGGTGAGAACCCTAGGGGCAGATGCTCAAAAAATATTAATTTAAAAGCGCAAGCACTAACCACTGAGATGAGATGTGACTAATAATTATTTAAACTTTAGTTATTTAAAAGTGAGAATGAGGCACTGATGGGAGAGGCAGATGCTTAAGAAAAATGTAGATACCTAGGGAAAAGATCCAAACTGATTGAGCATAGGACGTATATATAATCAGTAACCAATATTAACAATACTTCAGAAGCTAAAGCAAAAGAAACTTGGATAACATTCAGGTAAATATAGACCTAGTACACTTTAAAACTAAAAAAAATGGCCATGTTTATTTGCACAGTAATGCAATATTAACATGAAAGACAACCTACGGCTTTTGAAATTAGTGAAGTGCTCTGTTGAGGAAAACATAGTCTGATAGACAAGATTTTGTGCTGCTTAAGACTTACAGCATCTAAACATTATAAATCAAACTGTGACATATAAGAGGATCTTATTTTGTTTTGGGGAAAATATTTAAAAATTGCTGCAGATAGCTAAAAATTAGTGGATATATGATAAGTATAGATATTAAGAGACAATAAAAATAAAAAGATGTTTCCATGAACATAATGAAAATTAAGATAGATTTTATAGGCTTTCCTAAGGCATCTGGAAAGCAGTTATTCAAATGTATTTGAATAAGCCAGTATCACACAAACAGTTATTAAAAAAAAAAAAAAAGATTATATTCTAAGTTACAACGGATTCATAAAGAGAAATAAGCATTAAAATATCTCTTCTTCTCCCTGAAATTTTTACACTGGAAGATTTCTTCTTTAATTTCAATGTGTCTGAAGCTCAATACAAACTTCCTTCTTTATTCCTGTATTTTTCATTCTGCTCATTTCTAAATTCTTGAGATGGGGAATTCCTTGTCAAAGATGTAGCCACTACTCTCAGCATAAGATAAAATAAAAATAAAAATGGATTTTGACTTCTCATATCTACGTAATTCCTAATGGTAGTGACAGTCCCTCACATAGTAAGATAATTTTATGAAGACGACAAAGTGTCTTGTGAGTGGCAATGACGTGCAATTTCCCACGTGCACTATTCACTGGTTTCTTCCCTCACTCACACATTCTCTATCCCTGTGATAAATGTATCCCCTGCAAAGCTGGCAGCATATGGTCTGTCTGCCTCAGGGTAAATTTCCATTCCTAAGGAAAACAGAAGTAGAATAACCTGTTTCTGCTGTCCTATGATTAGGACATTTTACTAAGAGGAAGGAAAACAGCTTCTGATTCCTGCCTCTGAATATTTTCATATTTTACACTAGGTAGACACTGAATTAAAAATAAGAACCCTAGAGGAATATAGATTAGACCATATATTTGCAGTTTCCTAGCTGTTTTCTAACCTGTAGGATGTCAAACTTCCACTAGGCTCCTTTCATTTCAGTTTTATGCTATTTTTGTGTCTGTCTGCTCAAGCAGCGGGCGAGGAACATCCCATAATTAAATATTTGGATCTGGCAAGTGTAGGTTCATCTTAACCTTCACACTAAGAAGAGACTCAAATCAACAGGTTCTCAAAGTGCACCATGTCCTACTAATATGCAAAATGACTGAAAATGCCAGGGTGCTCCATAGTGAATAACAGCTGCTAGCTTTGGCCAACCTAATACTGCACACGGGGCACCACCATTTTTTAATTGAACATCTAAGCAGTTTAAATTGAACTCACACACTAAGCAGAGCAGGAGCTCAGGCAGACACATGTCTGCATTCTGAATATCAGAATATAGTCACAAAACAGGTCCTCATTCTCCAGATGAGAGCCCTTTTAAGTGTACGTGGAATTCTGTGCTTCAGATATTTTCAGGATGCTCAGCAAAGGCACATAAATAAGTTCAGACATTGACAGGAATGGGAAGTTTTAAAGGGTGCTTTCTGCATTGTTGCTTAAGATGCAAGTAGAAACTTATTTGGTAACTTTAAATTGCCTCGACCTTACTGTTATGTTCCTATATTTGTTACTGAATATGTAAATAACAACGAAAAAACCACTGTATTTTTAAAGAAAATGTTGTGTAAATTCACTGACTTAATACTGGGAGACAAGCCACAAATTACACTGTATTTTTTTATAAAATGGAAAGGAAATTAACAAGAAGGATTGGTTTTCCACTTCAGGTATACACAGTTATAAAGGGATAGTAGTTTCCAGAAGCTGTTATAGCATACTGAGTCATATTGTTCCCTCCCAAGCAGGCTGTTCTTTACTGCTGTTGTAGCTTGTATTCAGGATAGCCTTATTAATAATCAAATTGAGGAATGTACTGCATGCTCTCAGATAAGCAGACGGAAGAGTTATAAATCTTGCCATTGGTATGCAGACAAGCAGACAAGCCAATGCCTATCTCTAACAGCTTGAAAAATGCAGGTGTTGGGGTTTGTCTTATTTTTAACACACCGGTCTTATAGACCTGTAATAGGTAGGAACATCAGTTCTCATATACAACCAGCAGCACATCCTAGAGGAGATGGCTGAATTTTCACTGCTACCTCAAAGCAGAGACAGAAAACTTAAAAGGAGCAGTAAAATGTGTATTTAATGCTTAGGTTGTGTCCTGGTTTCAGCAGGGATAGAGTTAATTTTCTTCCTAGTAGCTGGTACAGTGCTGTGTTTTGGATTTAGCAGGAGAATAATGTTGATAACACACCGATGGTTTAGTTGTTAAGTAGTGCTTACGCTAGTCAAGGACTTTTCAGCTTCCCATGCTCTACCGACTGAGAAGGCTGGAGGGGCACAAAAAGCTGGGAGGGGGCACAGCCAGGACAGCTGACCCAAACTGGCCAAATGGCTATTCCATACTATGTGACGTCATGCTCAATACATACACTGGGGAAAGCTGGCCGGGGGGGCTGCTGCTCAGGGACTGGCTGGGCATCAGTCGGTGGGTGGTGAGCAATTGCATTGTGCATCACTTGCTTTGTATATTCTTTTATCATTATTATTATTATTATTATTTTATTTCAATAATTAAACTGTTTTTATCTCAACCCATGAGTTTTCTCACTTCTACTCTTCCAATTCTCTCCCCCATCCCACCAGGGGTGGGGGTGGGGAGTGAGCAAGCGGCTGCGTGGTGCTCAGTTGCCGACTGAGGTTAAACCATGACAGCTTGCTTTAATGGTCTCATATAGGACTTCTTCATTTACAATGTTAATGATATGACAATTCATCTCTGCCCTATAACAGTAACACTAGGGAATATGGCATCACGTAGCTACAGCTCAATCTGTAGCTCATGAAGTTTTATTGACTGTGTACAGTAGGTGACTGCTGCATAGCTGAACATTTCTTCAAGTTTTTACTGTCATGATAACCACTTAGCAAAAGCTTGCTAGATTTTAGTAGTGATCAACACCTGAAGAATCACAGTGATGAGGAATGTTTAAGACAGGCCAGTCCAAGGCAGATACGCAAGAGCAATTGTAAAACAATCTTTAAATACTGTATTTT